AAAAAAAAAAAAAACAAACAAACAAACAAATAAATAAGCAAATAGCATCCAATAAAAATATTCTCTTTTAAAGAAGAACATATGAGGAACTTTTCATCAAATCAAATATATTTATATGTTTGTGTAGAGAGAGAGAGAATACAATTGGGGAGGAGGAGCTTGGAGGAAAGGGAAGAGTGGAAGCTCCGGCGGATGGTGAAAAGGAGGTCGGGAGGGACGGGCATGCCGGAGACCATGTACTTGAACACGAGTGCTTGTTGTTCGAGCTCTTGCCGTTGGGTGGCCGTGAATGGATACCTAATGCTACTATCATTATTATTACTGTTGTTGTTGTAATTGTTTCTCGGGTTACCACTTATCATCATCGTTCGTCCGTCGATCGGGATGAAAATTGCGAATTTTTTAGTAAATAGAAGGAGGAGGAGGAGGAGAAAGAATGAAGAATGTGGATTTCTTCTTCAACCTTTAAGTAGTAACTAGTAAAAGTTTATATTGTTTCAATTTCAATGTTTGGGATGTTTGTTTATGATAATGTGGGATGGGTAACTATTATAAATGAAAAGGAGGAGAGTAGGTATATTTATTTTGGAGGGACCATTATGGGGGAAGCAGAATCTCTGTACATGGATGGATAAAACTAATGGTTCTCACACACACACACACACATACACACATTCTAGAGAGAGAGAGAGAGAGAGAGAGGGTGTGTGTAGTGAGTTGTTGGAAAATATACATAAGTTATGATGAGTGGTGGTGCAGACTGCAGAGAGTGCAGAGGGGAGCAGCAGTAGCAGTAGCAGAACAGTCAGGTGATGAGGTCATAAAGGGTATCAGCTCTCTGCTTTTATGGCACTTTTTCTCTCACACACCAATATGGAAATCCATAATATGTTTTGTAATATTTTAGAGAGAGATTCAAATTTTATTAGTTTTTAATGTTTCACTTAATTTAGGGAGTTGTTGGTATCTGCATTTCTCAGTGGCTGAGGGGATTTGTAAATTGTACGGTTTCCACTACTTTTTACTGCAGATGCCTTTTAAAAAAATATCACCTTTCATGACTTTAAGTACGAGTACTTCTTGCACCACTCAAAAATTTCACCTTTTTTTTTTTCCTTGCTATAATCTCATATTGGGTTTGTTTGATAATTAGTCGTTAGTGGTTAACAGATTGTATTGACTGTTTTGATTAGCGAATAGTTTTAGTTGATTTGAGCAACGAATTTGTATTGACTTTTTGTTACAAAGTGTTTGGTAAATTAACAATTTCGTATTCGATTGTTACTGTAAATTTATTTATAAGGATATTCATACATTTAATTTTTCTCTCTATTTATGTTTGACTTGCTATATTAATCTCATAATAATACCTATCCAATACATGTTAGGGCTATTGATAACGTTTCTTATTAATTCTAATGAATTTTGGGATAAATAGTTTTGGCTTAAAGATTTTAATTTAAACAAACAACAATATGGCAAAAATCTAACTGTAAACAACGTTTAATATCTTGTGTATTTACAGAATTATAATTGAGTTACATTAATAAAATAATAAAAGTTGTAATTGATAAAATAATATTGACACATATTAAAGGTTTCTCATTATGTATAAAACAGAAAGCACTTTTCTATTTCATTTTTTAAAATTATAATAAAATATTGAATTTTAGAATGAAATATATAATTGAATATCGTATAGTAAAGAAAAGTAAAATTAATTTTTTTCAGTATTATAAGAGATAAATATAGGTACTAAAAATTCATTTACATTAATATATAAATATATATATAATAATATTATATATATATATATATAAAGAAAATTGTTACATGTTATCTAAACAACTGGTATATAATGGCAATAATAACTAACTAAAAAAGAATCAAAATTCTTATTGTGAAATAATAAATATTAATAAGAAAGTATATTTTAAAATAATACTTCAAATTCTAAAAATATTTTAATGAAGTATTATTTGTTTTATTTAATATATATTTATTTTTGTAAAAATTAAATATAATAATTAATTTATTCGGCAGTTAATATAACGCCCGTGAATAACATGGGTTCTTGAAAGTTAAATATTTTTATCAAAATAAAGAAGTGAATAAATTTATTTTTATTATAAAAGAATAATAAAAATTATAAATACAACTATTAATTAAAAAATAATACCA